GGATTAATGTTTTTATCCTGTATTTAATGTATTTGTTAGGTCTACAGGATTAATGTTTTTATCCTGTATTTAATGTATTTGTTAGGTCTACAGGATTAATACTTTTTATATCACTAAATCAAGCTATATACAAGTGTCACGTTCATATTAACTTTGGGATGCTGTGGGACAAGCCAAGCTGATCAGTTTGATACTGAGAATAGTTTTCCGAACAGAGAAGAACAAAACAGATCTGAAATGCTGTTTTTACAAACTTCTAATATGAAAAACATTAAGAGAAAAAACAACTGAAAGTTAAATGTAATATTTTTTATATTTGTCAGAGAACGAAAATAAGATTCCTTTCTCTACTGAAAGATTCTTGTTTTTGATAAGTAGAATTAATAAAAAATAAAATCAACTAAGGAACAAGAAGGTGAATTTATAAATACATAAAGTAAACAAAAAAGCTTGTAAAGTAATGTATTTTCATATTTCTTTTTATTTGCTTTGAATTAACTAAAAGGTATTCTAGATTTACGAAAGGTATGAGTTCTTGGAGAACATAGCGTACAACAAAAAAAGGTAAATTAAAAATGCTTTTCCCATTATTTTAAAAGTAAAAATTAGGGGTTGCATTCCTGACCCAAAATATTTGACCACACTAACATAACATTTCTTTCCATTATAATGCATACAACTGACACACAAGAACCTGAAATAAAAAGACGTTTTCATTAATAAAATACAAAATGTAGTGTAATCTACTCGCCAAGAAGTGGTTGTTGCTTTGCTTGTCAAGGTGACGGGAGGGGAGGCTACGGTGATTATTGACAAGGGAGCTTCAACAGACAGTGAAGCATCATCAACTACTGAATTTCAATTACGTAGTTGTTAAAAAAAATAAGTTATTAACTAAAGATATTTCAATATATTAGATATAAATAGTTTCGTAACGAGCAAAACTTTCGTACAACTTTTATGTAAATATTTGTTATAGCGAAAAATGGAAACATAAATTGAAAAACATGCCCATAAAAGTTAATTATGTTATAGTAAAAAAACATAAACCGAATGTTTGTAAATTGAAGGATATCTGTACTACTATTATTTTATAGCTCTACTGAAACACCTACTTCTATTTTAAATATTTTTAAAAGTACTCACATTCAACATTCGTTTTCTGGTTTCAAAGTAGCTTTCCCCAGCGCCCCCTATATACTGTGTTGCTCCACTTTCACGATCCTTGCCCTTCTCTTTCAATTCAAACAGCCTTGACCTGAACAGAACACAGATATAACTCATTTAGTGAATCACGAGTTAAGAGACAAATTAGAAATATCCCATAACAACAAATTTGTTAGGTTAGGAGCTGAATTACCAGTATCCCATAACTATACATCTGTTAGATTAGGAGCTGAATTACCAGTATCCCACAACTACACATCTGTTAGGTTAGGAGCTGAATTACCAGTATCCCACAACTACAAATTTGTTAGGTTAGGCACTGCATTACCAATATCCCTTAACTACAAATTTGTTAGGTTAGGTTAGGCACTAAATTACCAGTATCCCATAACTACAAATTTGTTAGGTTAGGCACTGAATTACCAGTATCCCATAACTACAAATTTGTTAGGTTAGGCACTGAATTACAAGTATCCCATAACTACAAATTTGTTAGGTTAGGTTAGGCACTGAATTACTAGTATCCCATCACTACAAACTTGTTAGGTTAGGCACTGAATTACCAGTATCCCATAACTACAAATTTGTTAGGATAGGTTAAGTTAGGCACTGAATTACCAGTATCTTATAACTACAAATTTGTTAGGATAGGTTAAGTTAGGCACTGAATTACCAGTAT